CTTAGATTTATTCAATAGTTTTAAAATCATTATTAGTGGCAATTATTCATGATGAGGAGTGGAAATAAAGAACTAGGAGGAAAGTACTGTACCGCGTAGTGTACAAAAAGCACCTACATACCATGTATGCATGAGAGTACTGTAGCTTATATATATGCATGCTATTTTTTACTGACTCTCTGAATGCAGATTATACAACTATTGTTCAGTAAATTTCTTAACTTAGAATTTACTACACTATGGAAGGCCAAAATTTAATTTGTTTGAGTTCATTAATATCCCAGAACATATATTGGCTTCCTTTAATACGACTGAAGGATGTTTTTAAGTTCCTCTATGGGGTACATGGTTCTCTCTCTCAACCTTTTCTAAGAATTACTTACAATAAATTTAAACACTTTTAATACATTGAAATATTATTGTTCTCATCTTTCAAGCTGTTATAGAAAAGTAACTTTTATCTAGAATAAACAGAGAAATAACTGGTTGAAGATTAGATAGATAGATAGATAGATAGATAGATAGATAGATAGATAGATAGTTAGATAGATAGATGATAGATAGATAGATAGATAGATCGAACATTAAAGATATAGTTCCAGATAGAAAAACTGTGCATGAATTGGATTGATGTATATGTTTGTTGAGAAGCCTCAGGAAGTAAGAAAGAAATTACTTCTTTTTGGATATTAAATAATCATATAACCTATTAACACATTTTATAACTGTCAAGGCTTCCAACATTATTACAGCTGTGATAAAGAATTGTGCTACCAACTCAAAGGTGGCTGTTGTTATGTGCCATCAAGTCACCTGTGACCCATAGTGACTCTGTGTACAGCAGATCTGAACCCTGCCCTGTCCTGCAACCAGTCTCACTCATTCCAACACACCAACTGCCCCATTGACCCAGTCACTGTATCAATCCATCTCATCCGGAGTCTTTCTCTACTGGGCTGTCTGTCAGTCCTCCCAAGCATGATGTCCTTCTCCAAGGATTGGTCTCTCCTGGCCACATGCCCAAAGTATGTGAGAGAGAGTTTCAAGATCCTAGTCTCCAAATCTACAAGCTGGTTTATAGGAGAGAGATGAGCTATCTTCTATGTGATTTAAATCCTCTAAATACTCACTGAAGGTTCAGCTATGATTCAGTTCTGACTTCTAGTACTTGACAACAACAATAACAATGACAGTGTCTTTCACCCTTGGTTTATTTTTCAAATTAGCTTTAAGACATTTTCAAATTAATTATAAAGTGCATTCAATATTTTAATCAGGTGGTAGCATATCTAAAGTATACTGTATGAAAAGGAACACAAACTAGGATTAAATCATCAATTCATTTTTATTGATTTCCTAATCTGCCGCTCTCAGGCCTGGTTTTAATTGGTTTTGATCAAACATTGCCCTAGATGATATAGCACTGGTCTGTCCAATTGCTGTGCAGAGGTAACTTGTGGTTGCTGTGATGCTGAACACTGTGACCTTGATATGTCAAATGCGATAATGGTTACCCATGGTGGACAGTGTTTGGTGGAACTCCCCGATTAAAACAAGCATGGAAGCAGGAGTGGCATCCACTTCTGAAATAGCTTGTCTCTGGAAAATCTTTGAACTTGGAGAAACAATGAAAGTTATCCAAGTGTTCCAGTCTTTTGTTCATAGGGTTGCTGTGAGTTGTACTAACAACTTTATTTACCTACTTTTGTATCTGTAATAAAAAACAAATCCTCAGAAATTTTGGAAAAATTTATGTTTCTGATTCAAGAAATGTGAACTATTATGTGATATGAAGTCAGTGTAGATGGTGACCCTCTACGTTTCAAACTGATGATTCTTTTTAACTTTTCTATCTAGAGGCCTGACATTTCTTTTTAGCAGAAGAAGAATCTCATACTCCTCACTCTTTTAGTGATTTTTTTGTAAGAATTATCTTTCCATATATTTCTCTCTTTTAGGGGTTTCACTTTTAATGCCATAAAATATGTAGAGTTTTTGTGATCTTATTCTACAGTAGATTATTTCATCAAATGAAGATAAATGATTTCTAAAATGTTTACTATAAATGGAGAAACATAACCACAAATTAAAAAAAAAGATACAATTTATCTAAGAGGTAAAATGCAGTTACACATATACTTAAATTTATCTCATTAAATTAATATTAAATCCTATACCTAAAAAAGATAGCCATTCACTCACAACAAAAATTAACAATTCCCAGTTGTTTTCTATGTTATGTCCAAGCATATATTTTTTCCAAATATTTTTAAATTTTATGAATTAAGTAGTCAATGATGCAAATAGTACCTCATTTGTTTCACAGTAATTATGCCTTTAAGTCAAATGTTATGACACATTCACATACATTTTGAAAATAATTCAATGATGTAAGTGTACTAGGAATTCACTACACAGTTCAGTCTTCACTAAATACAAATAAATATTTGTGTGTGAAAAACTTAAGGAAATCCACTACATTTTACTAACTTTTAGGGATTTAGTAAACATTCGTTGTATTTAATTTAGTAAACTTCATGAAAATCTACTACCATTAGGTTTATTCCAATTCATATAGACAAAGCTAGACAGAGAATAACTATCTCATTTTGAGTCACCTGCAACTAATAACGACCCTACATACAACAGCCCTAAACCCGCTCTATCCTGTCTCCAACACACCTACCCCTATCACCCCAGTCACTGAATGAATCCACCTCATAGAGGATCTTCCTCTCCTGCGCTGTCCCTCCACCCTCCCAAGCATGACATCCTTCTCCAAGGACTGGTCCCTCCTTGCAGCATGTCCAAAGTAGGCCAGTATTTCTGTCCCTTAGAAACGGTTTAATTATCACTGTAATAAGAAAAGGACAGAAATCATCATACTGGTTGCTGGTATCATATTTGTTTTTATTGAAACTCAAAAACTCCTTGTTATTGAGTCATAATCAACTCCTAATGAGTTTTCAGAATCTGAAAATTGCACAGGAGGAGACAATTCCTCTTTCTCAACACGGAGTGAATTCGAACCATTACAGAGGTTCTGCCTTTGGGTTAGCAGCACAACTAACTCTACACACTGCACCACTAGAGCTTAGTACTTATAAGAGGAATAATTTATTTTCTTCCCTTCAGATAAGTTATGAAGTAGCTTATATCCAAATATTTGAAATATATTGACCATTTTTTAGTACCTTATGCACCTAAATAAAACTTCACACTCAATTGTCAAATCTTTCTCTCAGAACAGGTGCCAGGAAAGTAAATATTTAATATTTAAAAGATACAAGATTAATTCTTTCAAAAACTCATATGGATTCTGTTGTTGTTGTCAGGTGCTGTTGAGAATGAATCATAGTGACCCTATGAGTAATAGATTTGACCATGTTGCCCCATCCTCACTATCTTAGATACACTTGAGCCCATTGCTGAAGCAACTCTGTCAATCCATCTCATTTCATTGAAGGTCTTCCTCTCTTTTCACTGATCTTTCTAAGCATGACGTACCAAAGTACATGAGATGAAGCTTTACCATTTTTGCCTCCTAGGAGCATTCTGGCTGCGCTTTTCCCAAGACATATTTTTGTTGTTGTTGTTCTTTTGGCAGTCCACAGAATATTCAACACTCTTCTCTAACATCACAGCTCAAAGTTCTTCTTCTGTCTATCTCTCAGATGCATAGTAAATGATGGAAGAGACCACAGCTTGAATGAAGCACACATTTTTCTTGAAAACAGATTGCATTGCTCCTCTGTAATTTGGAGAGGCTCCTGACAGCAGCCTTGCCCAATAATACAATAGGTTCCCAGATCTCCTGACAGCTGGTACCAAGGATGTTGATGGTGGATCCAGGGACGTTGAAGCCATTGACAATTTCAAGTTTTTCTTCATCTATTATGATGCTGCTTATCAGTATGGTGGTTAGGATTTCTGTGTTCTTAATATTGAGATGAAAACCATATTGAAAGCTGTTATCTTCTGCAGCAAGTATTTCAAGTCCTCCTCACTTTCAAAAAGCATGATTGTGTCATCTGCATAACACAGCTTGTTGACAAGTTTTCGTCTGATCCTGATGCCACATTCTTCTTTTTAGTGTCTGGTGTCTTGAATGATTTGCTCAGCATACAGACTGATTAGGTGTGGAGAAAGGACACAACTCTGACATACATCTCTCCTGATTTCAACCCTTGCCGTGCTCTCTTGCTGTTTTGACAACAGCTTCTTGGTATAGGTATAGGTTTTATATGAGCTTAATTAAGTCTTCTGGGATTACTGTACTTCTATTTATAAATATATTTCAAATGCTGCTTACCTAAGAAACTAAGACATGTACAGGAATTGGAGAAATTGTCTTATTCCATTTTTTCATAATTTGCTTTTTTTCTGTATTGTATTAAATCTAATGTTGAGCCCTTTGACTAAATCTAAACTTTGTTATTTCATGTTCTACTTTTTCTTAAAGTTATAGTTACTACTAATCTAATGAATACAAAAAAATATACAAAATAATTCAAGAAATCTATCATGAATATTTGGTACTTTGACCCTTCTCAAAGTAAAAATCAACCTTCTCCCTGGCAGTCTCATTAGTTCATGTGTCAAAGTAACAAAAAAACATCTCTAAGACAGGCTATTGTATTTTAATTTTAGTAATAAAAAATTGCTATACCAAGATATCTCTATTTTACAATAGTCTCATAAGTAAAACAATGTTAAGAGAAATAAAACGCATTTGAGATACTTTAAAATAGACAATTTTATAGTCATGAAATATATACAAGTAGAGTTTATAATAGTAATTCCTGTTACATAAACCGTCAAACTGATTCTCATGAAGTTGATAATCTGAACTGAAACATCTGCTAGAGATGAAAATTATAGTATCTATTTTGTAATTTCTTGTGTATTCTGCTTTTAATTTTTTTGCCATAAATATAAAAGTACACATACACACATACACACTCCTTGTCTGCCTTTTGTTTGAATATGCATAAAATTACCTTTGGTTTTTGATGCTTCTCCTTCTCTGAAACATTAGATGGTTTTCTCTTCAACATTTTGAATTTTTACTGTTCTAACGGTGAGTGCACTTTCTGTTGTTACAGAGACAACTGAAAGTAGTCAAATGTGCTGTCTATGATATAAAACATCAGATAAGTTTCAGCCCAGTGACCTACCACTTCCTCCTTTAGTCAGGATATGACTTCAATATCTAAGGTTGATTTTTTTCCCCCTCTTTGTAACTATTTGGTAACCCTTCATTGCCCTGAAAGGGTGTGTAAGTTATATTATGTATCTTATCTAAATTCTCAAATTGTGCTCTTCAATGTGTCTGTAATCAAAAGAGAACTATAACAATTAAAAAGAGAAAACTCAGTCTTTGAGCTTAATAAAAATCAATAGTAATGAGGGTTGCAGAGTGGATTATATTTGGGGGTACAGGGTGGGGTTTGGGGAGGTGCGGGGGGGATTGTGTACCAATGAGGGAGTTTTTCTTTTGCTTTTCAAGGAGAGGAGAAAAGGGGGTGGAGGGGGGAGGGGTTTGTGCGGGGAGAAGGGTGCAACAGTGAATGAATGAAATTCCAAAATCTCTGTAGATGTTCATTGAAATGAAAAATAAACAAACTAAATAAAAAAAAATAAATAGTACATTCTGTGCATAGAAGTAAGAGGCTACTTGAAACAATAAATAAATGAAACAAGAGGTACAGGCTTTAAACTCTTAAAAATCAGGGGAAATTATTAGGAGAAAACTCAGTTATCAGTTTCACATTTCTAAGTAACATTGTTAGGGAGCTCTGGTAGCTTAGTAGTAAGAAGCTTGGTTGCAGTTCTGAAGCCAAGAGGTTCAAATCCTCTTGCTGCTGCACACGTGACTTCAGGATTGCAACACAGCTTCTTTACATTAGGTTTCTCTTGCTCTCTCTCTAGCACTCGTGTGCTCTTCTTTCTCTTTTCCTCTCCCCTTCCAACTTTCTTCAGTTAATGAGATATTTGCACATACGAAACTAAAATGTCATGCAAACCAATTATTTTTGCTCCAATGATGATCCAAAGGAACAGTGTGATATTTTGCAAAGAAGCATCGACAATCTCTATTTAGTACAACAGGAAAACAGTTACTATGATTGAAAGACTTTCTTTGTCAGACTGAAAGTTTAATAATTTTTATCATAATGTCAAAATCTTAAATACCCATCAAGTAAAAGCATGAACATTAAACTTTGCATTTGTGTGGGGATTTACAAAAGGGAGAATTTCAGAACACCTGAAATTCTTTAACACACCTATTTTAATGAAATTTGGTTTATTAAAGTTTCATTAATTTCAGCTTGTTAAAGAAACATACCTACATATATTTATAAAATATGTGGGTTAAAAAACAATAGTGTCGTATTCTAAATCAACAATTTGTATAGATTACAAATCAACAGGCTATAATTTCTCATTAGTTCCTCCAAGTTGCAAGCCCTTCCACCCTGACGTCTATTTCCAGTGTTGAACATTAATTAATTTAACAAATATTAAATTGAATTCTTGTTTTATTCTAGAAATGTGCCAATGCATAGAGAAATTTAGCAACGAAAAATTGCACCACAGTTGCAAAGGTATGATTAATGTTCTTTTTTTCACCAAGTCTACAAAGCTGAGTACCGTGAATAAACAAATGCGTCTTGGAGCAGGTGCAGCAGGAGTACTTTTTAAAAGCAACTCTGATGAGCCTTCACCTCATATACTTAGAGAATGTTACTAGGAGGGGCTATTCTTTGGAGACGGACATGATGCTTGGAGAGGTAGAGGGTCAGTAAAGAAGAGGAAGACTTTGACCTGGTGGATCGACACAGTGACTGAAGCAGTAGGCTCTAATGTGTCTAAAACATGAAGATAATACAGAATAGGACAGAGTCTGTTGCTTACAGGGTTGCTGTGAGTTGTGAGTTGTAGTCAACTCCATGGCACTTAATAACAACAACAACAACAACAACAACAACAACAAAGCAGAATTATATTTTTTAGTAACTACTTGATGTGTATTTTCAAATAAAGCCCCAGGAATTGATGGTATACTTATCGACATATCTCAGCTAACAGATGCTGCCCTAGGTGTGCTCATCAAGTTGTGTCAAGAAATCTGTAGAACAGCCACTTGGCCAACTGACTGGAAGAGATCTATATTTGTTCCCATTTCAAAGAAAGGTGATCTGACAGAGTGTGGAAATTATCAAACACTATCATTGATAATCGCATGCAAGCTAGATTCTGCTAAAGATTATCCAAAAACAACAGGGAAAGCACATCAATAGAGAACTGCCAGAAATGCAGGCTGGGTTTAGAAGAGGTCGTGGCTCTAGAGATATTGTAGCTAATGTTAGATGGATCTTGACTGAAAGAAGGAAGTATCAGAGGAATTTCTATTTGTGTTTCATTGATTATGCAAAGTGTTTAACTGTGTGGATCACAGCAAACTCTGGCTAACTATGAGAAGAATGGGAACCTTAGAACATTTGATCGTGCTAATGTGAAACCTATACTTGGACCAGGAGGCAGTCATTAGAACAAAGCAAGGAAACACTGCATGGTTCAAAATTGGAAAGGTTGTATTCCAGGGATGTGTCTTATCTCTATGTGTCTAACCTCTATGCATAACAGGTTATCTGGAGAAAAGTGGCATCAGGATTGGAGGAAGATTCATCAACAATCTGTATTATACAGATGACACAACCCTGCTTGCTGAAACTGAGGAGAACTTGAAGCGCTTGCTGCAGAAGGTCAAGGACTGTATCCTTCAATATGGATGGAGACTCAGTATCAAGAAAACCAAGATTCTAACTACTGGGACAATTGATAGCATCATGATTGATCGTGAAGAGATTGAGATTGTTAATAGCTTTAGTTTGCTTGGCTCCACAATCAACACTCTTGGCAATAGCAGCCAAAAAATTAAAAGACACATTTCGCTGGGAAAATCTGCTGCCAGAGACGTCTCCAATGCACTGAAGAGCAATGATGTCACTCTGGAGACTAAGGTGCGCCTAATATACGTCATGGTCTTTGCAATCACTTGCTATACGTCAGAGAGCTGGACAATGACTAGGGATCAAAGAAGGAGAACTGATGTCTTTGAGCTGTGGTGTTGGAGAAGAGTATTGAATACACCATGGACTGCTGAAAATGAACAGGTTCTAGTCCTAGAGAGGATTAAACCCAGGCTGCTCCTTGGATGCAGGGACTCTGAATCTTTATCTGACATACTATGGACATGTTGCAAGGAGGGACTGGTCTTTGGAGTGAGACATCATTCTTGGGAGAATGAAGGGACAGCTCAGGGGAGGAAGACCCTCCATAGGATATATTGATTCAGTGACTGGAGTATTAGGGGTAGGTGGTTCAGAGACTGTGACTGGCACAGGATAGAGCAATATTTAGGGCTGTTGTACACAGGATTGCTTTGAGTTGCAGGCAACTTAATGGCCACAACAACAACAACAAAATATATGAGAACATTTGAAAACCTGAGAACTCTGAGGTTGGGCAAGTCCCTAGAAGTATGCCTTCTTTAAAGTTTCTGTTTTGGTTTTGATAGAATTGTGGATGAAGCTAAACTTTTGTTTCATTTCTTTCAAAATGTAAAGTCACAAAAATATCCATTTCTTTTTTAAAAAAAATAATTATTTATTTAAACAAATGAAGGTTTATGAGAAAACAAGTAGGCCACTGAATCACGAGTGCCAGTTTTACTTTAATTATAAGCAATGAGATTAACTTCTAAGACCATCATTGCTAGTGTAAGCTACTAATACTTTCAACTTCATAGTATGTGAAAAATCTACTGTGTGTTTATCTATCTAGAAATGACAATATTAGGTTTATTGTTATTTGCATACCCTGAATTCAATTTTGAGAGTTTTATTTAAGAGAAATCTATCAGATACTGAACTTTTTAAAATTTTTTTTAAATTTATTATTAAATTAAATGAAAATTTACAGAGACTTTGGATTTCCATTCATTCATTGTTGCACTTTTCTCCCCTTTCAACCCTCCCCCTGTAGTACACTACCCTCTTGGAAAAGTAAAAGACACGTTCTTTCATTGTTTTACAATCCCACCCCCAGGCTCACTCCACTATGCAGCTCTGGACTCCCGTCATGACAAAAATACCTAATCACATATCCCTTTTAAACTGTTTTCTCCCTCATCTGTTTCAATGCAGTATACATTATTGAACCCATCTTTCTTAGTCTCCCCCCGACCCCGAGATCAATCCTGTTTTACAACAGTGGCACCATGCAATATTTGTCCTTTTGTGACTGAGATACTTCACTCAGCATAATGTCCTCCAGGGTCATGCTTTTTTAATAATGTTGCACGAGTTCCTTGTTTTTCAAAGCAGCGTAGTATTCCATTGTGTAAATATACCACAGCTTCTTTATCCATTCGTTTGTTGATGGGCACTTAGGTTGTTTCCAACACCTTGCTATTGTGAACAGGCCGCGATAAACATCGGTGTGCATATATATGCTTGGATGTCAGTTATGGTCTCTTTGGGGTATATTCCCAGTAGTGGAATTGCTGGGTCAAATGGTATCTCTATTTGCAACTTTTTTAGAAAGTGCCGTAGAGCCTTCCACAATGGTTGCACCATTTTACACTCCCACCAACAGTGAATAAGGGTTCCAGTTTCTCCACAACCTCGCCAGCATTTGTTGCTTGCTCTGTTAAATTTTGCTATTCTTACTGGGGTGAGATGATATCTCATAGTTGTTTTAAACTATCTATTTCTTACCACAATGTACACTTACTCTTAATCCACATTTCTTCAAGTATGAATAAAAATTATTTTCAATAGAGAAGTTCAGTCAATAAAATGAGAATAACTTGCTTGATTTTGCTATGTCAACCTGTATTAGACTTGTGTGTGTGTGTAAGTATTCAGGTGAGATGAAAGTGGTAAAAAAAGAAACATCAATAAAAGACCAACTAATTAAAGTACTGTAACTTATCACCAAAATAGTTTTTATATAAATATATATCCTAAGGATAAGGCCTATAAGAGCATGTGGTTTTTGTTAGGTGCCATTAAGTCTACCTACAACTCATAAAGACTCTTTGAACATCAGATCTTTTGTTGTTGTTGTCAGGTACTGTCGAGTCGAGAA